TAGAACTCTCCTCATCCTGTATCCCTTACTCTCTCATACCTTCCATCTTCCTAACCAGAATCCTCTCTACTTCCCTTACCCTTCCATCACTCTAAGCTTCCCTACAACCATAAACAAATTTCCCCCTACATTTGCCAATCTCTCTTTAAACTGTACTCTTATCCACACCTATCTATCCCTTATATCCCAGTATTTTATTTTTCTCTTTTTCTGATACTATCTCCCTCCCAAAATATATCCTTACCTGTGTCTAACATCACATTCTTTATAATAAGTAACAGGATGGTCCTCAAAAAAAGTACTGAAATGCCTCTCTGGTTTGACTCAGTCCTGTGTAGCCCCTTCCATAATTCTTCCTCCCTCATTTGTTATGACAATCTTAAGAATATATATACAATATTTTTTTCTCCGTTTACCTACATTTATTATTAACAGCCATGGCATAATGCAGTGATCATTTGTTGCATTAAATGGTTGCCAAGCATAAGAAATTATGTTCATAATTTTGTGACTAGAGATGGATATAAATGGACAAGATTTTATACATAAGACGCTGGAGATGTAACTCCTCCTGAAATTCACTTCCATTATATGAAAAACATTCACAATTTTACTACTTAACTGCATTAATTTTGTTTTCTCTGAAACTGTAACCACTGTGACAGACCCAATGCCATTCACTGCAGCATTTTAAACATTTGCATCTCAGTGTGAATGTAATGAAGGCAAATGTGAAATACGGAGGTGAAGTGTCACATTTTACTGACTCCAGTATCATGTGGATAGGGTGCTGAATGTGGCTTGTAGCCATTCTGGATGATATATGAGAACAAATATTACCACAGTTTCTATGAATTAAATTTCAGCAATTTAGTGTGCGAGCAGTCACCCTGCTGAGTGAATGTCACAACACACATTTTTGTATACTGCGTACAATGAGATGCCCTAACCCTTCAATATGTTTTTCATATAAAACAAAGATACGCCATGACACAATGACTACTATCTGTTACAGTGAGTCCAAACCATATTAGTATATTAATTAACAGTGAATAAAATATCAATGTTATATCATGCTGCACCCTCCTGGAAATGTTCCATCCATACATACATAATGCTTAATTCCATTTCCTGGAAGTATTCAATACATAACAGAAAAAGGATTAATGAGGGGATATGTCCCATCTGAAGTGAGATGCTCAAATAAGACCACGGCTCAGCTGGCGAATTTTGTCCTAATCAGAGTACAGTTATGGTATATACAACATAAAACAATGTCATATGATACAAAACAATGGTTTTTCTTCTGGGATTATGTATGAGACATCTGCACAAAAATGATCTGTACTCTTTGTGAGACAGAGTATTGCAAGAATTGCAACAGTGCGATCCAGGTAAGTAATTTGGATGGCTGTCAGTGAACATAAAACATGATTTTAGTCACAGAAAGGCTGAAGCCTTTATCGATTCAGTTGGTGGGAAAACTACAGCATAATCTGTGAGAAACTATGTTATTGAGTGTTCTATGTCATCATGATACAACTAAACTTAAACTGGCATCTTGGACCAACATAGTAAAAAAGTAATTAATAATCACCTTAGCATAGAGCTCTGCGAGATCATCCTCGGTCGACAAGGGACGGGACTTTGATCTTACCCATGCTGGCAGACTTCTCGTCTTCAGCACGGCTGGGCCAGAGGGTGCCTCGCCCCCTCGTGACCCAACTTCATCCAGAACTGTGAACAAATACGAAACTGTGTCATGTTAGCTCAAATTGCAAAACCAAAAGTAACGTGAAATAAAAAATAAGGCAAAATCAAAAGTCATATTAATTTAATAGAAATACCTATACATAATGTCTGAAGAACATTAAACCACTGAAGCCAAAGTTTGCCTGAATAATATTCAAGAATTCAGTCAGTACCTCACACAAAACACTTCTCGCCTCCATTGCAAAGAACAACTGCTTAATGCTGCTTAAAGGAATAATTGCTTTTAACACTGAGAATCTTATGAAAGTCACACATACAAAATGCAGGGTTACTAACTGTTAATGCAACTGGTACATATAGTTACCCCTTGGCTTTGAACGGTTAACAGTAAGTTTTAAATGCCAAACAGGACACACAACCAACTCCAAAGGTCTGATTCTATGTGGAATTGAAACACTACTTCTTTCAAAAGAAATTCTACCCTTTAAAATTATGGTATTATTAAAAGTGAATTCTTGACTTGTTTTGATTAATTTCTTTAGAATGTTTTCCTATTAATTATATTGTGAAAAATCATAGTGTTGCAAGAAATCCAGTGATGGTAACCCTAATCTAAATATATATACATTCCTAGCAATATTATCACATTTAAACAGAGAAAACAACTTAATTATCTGGCCATCTTGATTAATGTATTTGGTTTGTTTGTGAATTACTTTTTTAAATATAAAACTATGCGCAATTTGAAGAACAAGAATATGTATCTAATATATATAATCCTACAAACTAAAATATTAATCTGATTAGTAGCTGCAGTATATTTATATGTATCTCCAAAATATACTTAGGTCTTCATGCAAACCTGTGGTCCAAGTTGTCAAATGTTGACCAAAATCTTATTCTGTAAATACATCTTGGTAAAGACCCTTTAATTATCAGACTTAATCCAAATCCAATCAACAGCAGAGGTGTGTCTTTGCATGTAGTACACAGACACATGGCAAACCTAAGAAGCTTGCTGGGTTATCAGCTATCCTGCCTCAAGCTCTTTGTGATTTTACTGAGTCTCTGCAGGAAAATAACTTCAAACAGGTCACAACCAATTCCATCCAAACGTGTTACAAACAGTTTGTATTATTTGTACCCTCCAATATATAACCTCTGCAGCTGAAACAATGATGTTAAACAGCCAAATAATCAATCATCAAAATCATCTTAAAGATACTTTCTTTCTTATCAGTATGTATGATCAATATGCTGGTTCCTCATTTTTTTTTTACAGTGTTCAGTTAAAATGTATTAAACCGATTTGTATTGTAGCAGTGGAAGTGAATTTGGAAAATGGGGCTCAAGTGTATAAAACTGAGTAGCTTTAGCATGCACATACTCACTGCTGCTTGAGGCATACTGTGTGCTCTGAGCAGTAAATTCAGAGATCTCTGGCAAATGGTTCTGCTGCCTTCCTTCAGCATTCACTGCCAGGTCATAAGGCCCAAATCTGATTGGCTGACTCACTGGTCTTCTCCTTTTATCCGATGTATTTAAAGGCTGGAAAAGAATGCAGGGAAATAATACAAAAATGTCAGCATTATATATTCTTCAGATAAGCTTGGCTGTCAGATGAGACATAAGAGGTGGAAATGTCATAAGGAGAAAAGAAAATTATACATCTTTCAGCTACACAACTGGTTAGTAATTTTATGACAGAGGTTCCTGACATATTAATATCAAAATGGTTACGTACAAGATCAATAAATCACATACCTATTGTCACCTGGGAACTGGAGTCTTATCGACACATATCTTTAGGAAACTGTTCTGGAAGTCACTGAGTAACATGTAACTGTTTCTTATGCACGCAGGCATTTACAATGCTTTACATTGTAAATATACGTTCCAAGCAACATACTACATGTTACAAAGTTTAACATAATTTATAAAGACATGAAAACATTAAGAATAACTTACCCCTGTATGACGTGGTGGAGGAGCACAACTCGTTGAACGTGTCAGGGGTCCTGGATCTAGTCGCTCCAAGTTTGCGGGACTCAGCACCCTGCTGTTATAAAACCAGTGTGAACCAGGGCCAGGCTGGTGTGAGGGACCCACCAACCGACTGCTATAAGCCCAATGTCCACTCTTTGGTGCTGCATACACTGCTGAGTGGCTGGAAAGTCATGTGTGCTTATTATTCAGTCACAGACTGAAAAAAAAACATAAACCACTGGAAACACTGTGTCACAGCTCAAGTGGTTAGTCACTGGCTTCTCATCACAGAGGCCAAAGTTCATGTCCAGGTCATTATTGACTGAATTGTGGTGGACAGAACTGTCATTCAGTACTGCCCTGTTGACATCTTCCCATCACTTCTCTATATTCACTTGTGTGTTTTGTCTGGGAAATGGACACTTAGACACATTAGCGGCTCAGTTTCACAGAGACGCAGCTCTCCCCATCACAACACAGGAAATAAAACACAATAAAGAAGGCTAGACAGGAAACTGTTTTGACTACGAGAAGTTTATACAAGCATATTTAGTATTATAAAGAGCTGGGTCAGTTCAGTCTATATAGTCAATTGATACAGATTGGATGACTGAGGTTTGATTCCTAGAAGAGGAAAGGATTTTTATCTTCTCCATCATGTACAAAGTTAAAATAAGAGAAAAACTTAGCAATGCAGTGAATATGGCAGGCATTTCGGCTGTGATCAGTGCATCAATTTTGTGAATGACAATGAGTCATTTGCACAGTGAACAGTACTATGATCTGTGTCTGTCCTTCTATCCACGATAACCTGAGAACTGCTGAATGGATTTGCATGAAATTTGATACTAGGAACTTCAATTAAATCTGTGGCCATCAGCTATACAGAAGCTAAATGTACCAAATTTAGTGTTTTCAAGTTTCATTCCAAATGTGATAGCAGTTTTTTCTACGTATTCTGTACAAACTCTATAACTTCATGGTTTGTACATGCCTTGATGAAAATAAAAGTGTTCCTATTTTATTAACTTCCACAACTAAAACTATGTGTATATTTGTAAATACATTGAGAGTAAATTTGTGCCCTTTATATACAGCTTTAGAATATATACATAACAAAATGTAACTTTAAAAAAGGGAAAATTCTTATGGTAGAGTTTCTTTGTAAGTGCCACCATGACAAACTTTTCTTTGAGAACTGCTGAAATAATGGATGTGTCCTTGTCTGCATTTTATTCTGTGCCGTCTATACAGGACAAAAATGTCGTTAATGTTGATAATGTAATTGATCTGAAGGAGGAATCTAAAGATCAACAAAAGTACATTCATATAACAGGTGTCTTAAAAACTGTTTCAGCAGCAAAAGCTTCTGCATTATCGTTTTACTGCCTTTCAGAACATTTTATAGATTGCATAAGCAATTTGCTCAGATTCATGTCTCTCTTGCTCCAATTGTACAAGGAATAAAGAATGGAAAATCTAACCTTGGCATAACTGACAGCCCTGATCTCTGCCTCGCAGCTATTTCCTCTCCCAGTCGTGCACCTGTGAATAAATAACAGACCTTCATTAAAACATGAAAAAGTGCAATAGTTTTCACATCGTGCAGAATTTCTAGACGTGCTACCCAAAGCATAAATCAGGTAATTCACGTATGATATTTAGTACTGAATATGTGTTTCTCAATGTGCAGTATCACTATCTGCAGGCAGTGAACTTAAAATAGTTTTAAGCTTACTGAATCAGTCCCTTTACCCTACATAAACTAAATGACTCCTTATTAAGATATAATTGCTCAATTTCCTCTGATCCAAATTGCTTCATTTTGGCAGCTATGGAAGTTGCAACATCTACTTCCCTTCTCTAATATATGAAGGGCTAAGCAACTTGAATCGGTAATGGAACGGCGAAATCGTTTAATTTCCTGATAACCTGTTCCCTGTTGGGAATGATTATTGATAGAATTCTGTGGAGTAAATTAAAATTTGTGAGCTTCACTTCATACAAGAGGAAGTGATTCAGACAGCCAGTCTAATGGAACTGAATACTTCAATAATGTCAACTGTATATCGATTATTCTTCCATTAACCTAACTACAATAACAGAAGTCCAGAAAACAGATGGAGAACTTCATTAGGATATATTTTAATTATATATGACAATTTATGCTCAGGTCATCTAACTGATCTCTTCCCTTCAGCTTCTCTGACCAAAACTCTGTATGCATTTCTCATTTCATCTGTGTATGTGACATGTCCTCCCCATTTCACTTGCCTTGATTTCATCACATTAGTATGGTAATATGTAATGAAGAATACAAATTATAAAGTTCCAGCATTCCCTAAAATCAATCCTCTTCGCTTTTTCATATTTCTTGCTGTTGTTCCCAAATACTTGAACTTTGTAACTTTTTGAAGAACTTACTAGCTATTACAATATCTTCCTGTATTATAGTGGTGAAACATAAACCTTTACTTGGTTTTCTCTGTTTTTAATTCTAGAGAAACTTTCTAACTAGCATCTATCAGAGATTCTCCATACTTATGTATGTTATCAGTGTTTTCACTCACATGCTACAACTAATTCAAATTCGTAGCACTGAGTTATTATTTTACCATTCCCAACTCTTCTGTTACTTGTGTCCATTTCACACTTACATATTGTCAAAGGCACACATCAAAAACAAGAATTATACAGTGCTACATTAACAGTAATGCTAGGAATTTTTACAATTCTGCCATAAGTATATATATAGTTACTTAGCCAAAATTATAATTATAATTATATATTAGAATTTCTTAATTTCTAAATAGTACGTACTCCAGTTTCTAAGCACATCAGATGAAAACCAAGTCTTGGAACACAGCCTATATGATGAAACATTTTTGACGACTGAGATAAAATTCTCAGTGCTGAGACACAATTGTATTTCATCACTAATGTATTTAAGTGCCATTAATATGTTTTTAATTTTATTTGGTATTATTTATTCTGATGTATCTCTAGATACATCCTCAGTACCTTCATTTTACACTCATTACAAGGGAGAGGGAGGAACTTGTCCCAGATATGTCAGTGTTTAACAAATTCATAAGGCCAGAGAAGATTTTATTAAAGGAAGAGGAGATTTACACCCCCATACTATGGGGTTGCTTGCCAGACTTTAATTTTGGGGTTTACAGATTGGTGGTATGTTACTGCAGTACATGATCAGCCGGATCACTCATGAGTAATGAAGGTTAAATATCAGCATTTTACCTTCTTTGCCAATATCCGTTTCTCTCCTAATACATGCCAAATCATCCCACACAGATAAACTTCCACACAGGAATCTACAAAGTCATCTCCCTTCAGAGAGGAAAAGAAACTGGTGAAGCAGATTACAAAAATTAAAACTATTTCTAAATGAAAGAAACAGAGCAACTTCACTTTTCATTTGTGCACACTTAAGATGATACTGACATATGATTTGGCCACTACTATACACATTTCATTCTTTTTTCTTCTTTTTTTCCAGTGAAACCCCCAAAACATTTCATGCACTGTCAAAGGTTCTACAAACCACCAGTCTAAGAGTACAGACTTACAATAAGCCTTGTCTCGGCGAGGAACCACACAGCAACGCCACACGATGGCAGCAATGAGAGTGAGAAGTATCAGTGCACCACCGCATACTGCGCCCACAAGGAATGGCAGGTGTTCACTTGGAATACGCCAGCTGCCCCACTTCCAGCCACCAGGAGAAGATGCTGCTGGCGATGCTGTGCCATTGTCCTGCAACCCAACAGCATTCATACTGTTGCTTCTGTACTGTAAAAAGTCCTCCTTGCAGAGTAAATTACTTCCCAGGACTTCCAACCTTGCCATATTTCAGAACAGTTAAATTCACTTATTTCCAAGACAAATTAATTTTTGGGTTAGTTAATGAAACATCTTCAACTGTAAACATTATAGATATAAAATGATAAGATGACTATCAATGATGACTTGGAAAGGACATGGAAAAATGTGATCACAGGCCGTTTGAAACTACTATACCGGCATTAGCCTCAAAAGACTAAACAGAGCTAAGAAAACCACTGCAAGATCAAAATCGCAGTCAGGTTACCATATGAGATTACAGAAAAACCAACAATGCGACAAAAGAAAACTAAATACACATAACATTTATAATGTAAATTTTCAAGTTGTGGATAAATAAATATTAATCACAAAATTTAAACACAGAGCTATATGTCTGGCAAAAGAATAGACAGAACAGATGCAAATTTCTGTAAGCTTCGATGAAGTACATTGGGGATGAGACCTTTAGGATCAATAATGAGCATGGATAATGGGATATGGTTATACATTAATATGTTGTTGATATGAGATATGTTACAAGTCTGTGTAATTCCGAAATAAAATCTAATGAAAACTAGTGGTACCATACATAAAAAAATTGCAGCTAGAAATGCAGAAAATGGTAGATAAAATCAGGCATAGAAAAGCTCCAACCTTTTGGCATATTGCGTGAAAAGCTGCAGAACCAGCACCATCCAAATTGTAACTTTAATGTTTGAACAAAATGTTTTCAATACACCATAAGAAAACCAAGAATATTTATGGATATCACTCACAGTAAAGCGATAACATTGAGATCAAACGATCGATACCGAGACAATCTGCAACAGTTTTAAAGTTACATTTTAAAACTTCATAACATTGAACTTACATCTGGATTGAACTGAATTACACCACAACACGAAGCAGACTAAACAGTCTAACCCATTAAGATGATGATGGTTACAAATGTTTTGTACTCACGTCTGGCCACATCTTTGCAGTCAGAGTGACGGACTGCTGAAATACGTGGGTCTGAAATCGACCCCGCCCCCCTGGCTCCTCATCTCCTGTAACATAAACAGGCCAAAAATGAGTATGAATAAAAATTGTGCTTTCCAAATATTATTCACTTTCAGACCCTCCTTCCAACATTACGTACTTTAATAAGAGCCATTTTACGAGAACAAACTAAATTTACTCGCAACTAAAAGAGCAAATTTAGGAAAGTCCTAAATCATGACACAACATGGCCACTCTCCAGGCATAACAGTTCAACACGTCCTACTGGACAGGACTACATTGTATGTGACTTTCCAGCTCAGTACCAGCTTACTATAACGTGTGTATTCGACAGCTGAAACTTTTCAGTGAATGCTTTGTTTTGACGTTCCAAATGCCCCCGCGGCCCACGAGTTATTATTCGTTTCTGGTTTAGGTAGGTCAGAAATATGCGCCTCCATACTGCAGTCATCTTCGCGATTTTACTGTCATTCCAGCAAAAATGCAACATATATCGTGTTTCTCTTTTATATGTCATCTCATTTGTGTCTCGTTCATTTAATATTCTTTCCTGCATCTTTTCCTTCTTTATATTCATTTCTTTAATCACCATTTCCTTCTTTCTCTCTCTCCATTTGCTTTATTTAAAGCCTTTATAAATTTACTGTATTAATTTCCTCGTTCTTCAGTCGGTTTTTTCTTTACTTTTGATTTATAAAAACGTGACACCCACACAAATGATATACATATGTCCCACGTAACTCGAAACCCACCTACCAGCATGCGACTCATTTCTCGCCAGTTCCTTCGCTGTCATCCCGACATGCTGTCATGATGTGTTCCCCGTCAAGTGATAACTAACTAACTAGATGGCTTACCGACGTTCATCACCGAATTAACCGAAGCCCTCCACCTGACCCTGGCCTGGGCCAGCAAAAACCAGTTTCCTTCAACTCCTATCTCCCATAGATCCCGCCTGAGATTATCCTCCCATCTACGTCTAGGTCTCCCCTGCGGTCTCTTCCCTTCAGGTTTCCCAACCAGTACCCGGTGCACACCTCTTGTCCCATCCATGCGCGCTACATGCCCAGCCCATCTCAAGTGATACACACCAATAAACCACAACAGTTGATTATTCAAGCTTGCGAATGGAAAGAAACACGAGTCACTGAAGACGTATGAAGATCGCTGTCATTATCTGGCAAACAAAACGACTAGCTTCTGCCTGTTATTAGCAAAATATATTAGTAAATATCCCAGCACAATTACCAATACGGATCCCGAATGAATTCCTCCGCGGAGATTGTTCCGTTTGTCGCATGGGTGAGGGTAGTGCAGGAAATAGTAGGAACATCCCTTTCATTACGTGCTAAAACGAAGTATGGTCTTTTTATAAAATTAAAGTGTTCATAATTGTTGCTTGAGAAGGATTCCTAACGCTGAAAGAGGCCTGAACAACACCACCCTTGTTTGTGCTAAGAAGTCTGACATGCAATTCATTTCCTATGACGGAAAGAATATTAATGCTTGAGAGAAGCAATCTTGGGCCATTAGCAGGGGAGGAAGCAAACAGCCTGCCGAACTTTTCAGCAACATTTCCTGTCAATCTTCCGTAACTTCGTCAAGTTTTAGCCTATATCAGCGGCCTCCGGCTCGCGTCTTTTGCGGAAGTTGTACGGACCGATTACAAAATTATCTTCCAGATGATAGCGATACTGCAGTTGAATGGTTTAAACTCTTTGTCACTGCTGTACTTACCAACCACCTAACGGTAGAAAAGAAACAGGTATGCTAGGCAGTAGCTTTACATATGGTAACATAAACTTTTCACCTTTATGTGACAACATTTCCATAGACTTGACGTCTTCCGAAATGTGAACCTTGATCTCATGTTTATGACGGGGACAGATATGATCGTGTTATGAAGACCACTGTCCAACAAACGAGTGGAGTAAACACACGCCTCTACGCAATACAAATTCAAATATTGACACTTTGCTGATAGCGGAGCTCGCACTAATACAAATGACGATCGACTTCGTAAGGTCAGACGTGTCGGGATTTTTTATTTAAGGTTCCAACCTCTGCATAAAACAATATTTCAACTGATACCTGACGAAGTTTCACACTGTGAATCTAGAACTGGATACACAGGTAATCAGAGTGTATACCGGCAAGTCAAACGTATGGATTTGATTAAAAGTCTCCTTGGAGACATGTTAACTCACAAAGGACACATTGTAACAGCTTCCGTCTTAGTGTGACGCGTTTATACAGAAATGCCGCTACAGTGCATTTCGGTTAGACAGAGATTTACGAAACAATTCACAAAAGCTGAACAAAGGGTATACAACATTCTTAAGGAAAGGTCTAACTTTTGTACTGGTGAGGCAGGACAACAGTCCTGTGAAAGTGACTTATAGGAAGTAAGTTCCAGAAATGAAAGGAAAGGAACAATCCAATTCAAACGAAGCGACTATGTTTATTAAGGTTTCTTCGCATCGCCCCGTGTGTGGACAGAAAACAACAGAAACAGACATATCGCCTGAAATTTTGACTGTAACTTACAAAGAAGGCTTTTTCTGGATCCATATTCATATTAATTGTTTCGGTGTGTAGAACTCGACCTTTACATTTGTGTCAGGTCCTTTAAGTTACAGCCTATATTACAGTAACATAAACACGCAAGTACAATTTCAGCTGTCCATAAACAAACTCTGGTTCAACAGTCGCCCATGAAACACTAACATGCCAAATTCCACGTGCAATAAGTAATTTCTATTTTTAAAATAATTTTTCATATTATTCCATGTTCCTTCTCAAAGTTAAAACAGTTTCAGAAAGGCGATAACAAAAAGTGTCGGAAAACGTATCCGCGGAAACATTAAGTAAATTAATTAACATTTTGAAAATATTTCTAGGAAATAAGAGTTCTTCCATGTCGATAAATTAGACTGTTCAGCCAAATTGACATTATTTAAATTTACAAAGAAGTGTGTCTGAGATGTCCAATATACGAATAAAACAGTAAAATATACGCCGTGACATTTCTCATCTGATCTAAAATATGGGGTTGTATAAAAACCATGTTTTATGACTTTTATAACTATCTGACCAACAGTTCGGTTTCGAAGGAAACTTGAAAACATCTGATCCAAACTTTATTTTATACATGCTTCATAACCTGGAACCTGTGATGATCCCGCCCACACAAATATTTCTTAGTGACAGACAAGGTCTCCCTCAAGGGTCCCCACAACTAGGTTCGGTTTCCTGTTCTTCCCCATCCCCAAAAACACCAGACGTACATTTCATGACGTCGTCCGCCATACTGTTATATTTTCTCTGACTTCCTTAAAAAATGTTAAATCAAATAATATTTTTAAGATTTCTGCACTGAATAAACTCCTATTTAAAAACCTAAATATTACAATTCACAGACCTACAATTTTACCTGTTGCCTTATACTCGTATGGGTATGGAACTTTGTATCTCAACGTAAAAAGTAACAAAGAGCCGAGGAATATATTTCTACTTAACAAGGAAGATAATAACAAGAACTCTATAATTTGTATTCGTCACCATATATTATTAAGACAATCAAACCAAGGAGGTAAAGATGGACAGGGCACGTAGCACGCACGAGGAAGATATATACAGACATTTTAGTCGGAAATCTGAAGGGGGGAGACACCTTGGATCAGACGGGAGGATAACATTGAGACATATATCCAAGAAACAGGGCGTGAAGATTAGACTAGATTAATCTGATTCAGAATAAGATCCAGTGGCAGACTCTTGTCAATAAGGCAATGAACATTTGGGTTCCATGAGAGGTAGGTATTTCTTTACAAGCTTAGCGATTTTAAGTTCTTACGAGCTCTACTGGACTGACTTAGTTTGTTATTTAAAAAGACACAAAACTGTTAGGTAAATTAAACCATGGCATTATTTACTACTGTGGGAAATTTTAGCATGTCTTCTAATCGTAATAGCAATCGAGTAAGTGAAATTTTTGTGAGTCACCCAGCAGTAAAGAAAAGCGAGACAAACGGCCCCAACATTTCGTGGTAAGAAGCTCTCACAGGTCAGCGTCTGTATGGATATCCGATAAAGACCACACTCTTGGCCTCTTGGGTTGCGACCGACATTTCAAAGCCTCCCCAGTCCGTAGCCGTATTCACACAGCTATACGCAACTTCCCGCTCGTTGGATCTGAGTACACTTTCAAAATTCCTGAAACTCTCTAGTATCATTAATAACTGTAGATTTTCACATTCATGGTGAACTAAACGAGGACTAGAAAACCTTTTCCAAGCAACGTCAAAGTTATGAATTTATGATTTGTTGGCAATGTAGTGCCAAAATCAACTATATTTTTGTGCCAGAATTTGGCGCACCATTTTGGAGCTGAACACCGCAAAGCGTGTCCTGGAGTTTGCAACTTTCCACTCGCCGCCGCCGCCACGCGCTACCCACTGCAGGCATATAAAAGTGGCCGACACGAACGCACGAATACATAAATGGCGTCTTATTCACGCCAACCAATCTACCAAAAACCTACTGCTGCTGATGAGAGGTTATCCCGTCAGGCAACATGTCCTTTGTGCAAAGGATTTTGGTTGGTTGGTTGGTTGGTTCTCAGAGGTTTGAGCCCAGAGACGGTGGGGCCTCTGCGACTTGGGGGGAGGGGAATCACTTCAGCTGAAGGCCCCGTGATTGGGGATAGCGGGCCGTACGCCTCTTGAATTATACCCTGGCATTTGCCTTACAACTGAGGAAAAACACGGATAACTTCAGTCAGGGTAGCCGACTTGGCCGTCTTTTCAGGGACAGCCTTCGCTGGCTTGCTGAACATCGGTTGCCCTTGGGTGACCTCTGTCAGCCTTCTTCCGGCAAAAGTGCCTCCCGAGTTGCCGGACTAAGGGGTTCTCCACACCAGCTAACTTTGAGTCGAAGCCCTCAGTCAGTGCCCTGATGTGGTCGGCGAAGAGCGAGATACCGAAATCCTCGTGAATTTGCCTGTTAATAACGTACCAAGGCACTTGGACGCAACACTAGCAGCTGA